CACAGTGATTACTGATAATTACTGATTACTGATAAAAGAATACTATCATCGCTAGTCCTTACGAATCATCAAATTCAGACAGATATTTCATGCAATATTCGTTGATACTGCAATTAGCGATTGAATTAGCAGCAAAACAAAGACAAAATTTCAAATTTCTCGCCGAAACGTTGATTCGTGGCTTTACGATGACAACTTTGTCTGTCCATGAAACTTTTATTTTTGTTGTCAATCTTTGGACAGTCCACAATAAACATCGCAGCATTTCATTTTGGTTGCGGAATATGAAATTATTCAGAAGCAAACTGTATACAATTTCCTAATTGATAAGATAGCCTAGTTGCATATAAGTTTAGGCTCATTGGCTTCTTAACTTATAGTCCTGCACTCTTCCGCCCAACACTTTTCTTTTTTTAGAATGCAAAGCATTCGTATGGTGCAAAATGAATTTCGATAATTTATATTTAAAAAATTATGCAACGAAGGTATTTTCTTGTTCAGATAAGCTACGACAGAAAAGCAAACGAAGAATTAAAGGAAGAAAATGAGTTTTGAAGAATTGCAAAGTTTATTAAAACGCGGCAAAGGTTGTTATCTACTTGTATTGACAATATTTTTCAAGAAATTTCTATCTCATCTAATAGAGTGACCACTGGTCAACAAATTGCAATGATTTTTGATCATTTGCAGTTTACTTACTGTTTCAAAAACAGAAACAAAGAAATAATTTTTTGAATGTTTCTCATTTGTTTGCTCACATTTAAGCATGCATCACTTTATTGAAAACAGCCATTGCTTCAACACTTCAACACGTTACTGACAAAATGCTGAATTCTTCCGGAAATATGAGAAGCGTTTCCGTATTATCAGTTTATCAGTTTATCACTTGAAGTAATCACTGAGACACATTGCATAGTGAATTTTCAATCATTTTATATGATTTCTCATAAAATATTGATATAATACAATATTATCATTATATTATTATTATTTTTATGTTATTTTGAATTTATATATTATATTAATGTTTATATCTAATATTATACTATATTATAAATAATATTATCACTAATACTATATTACTTCCCATGTTGGTTATCAAAATATATCATGTTTCGATATGCCCTTAGAAAGGAAAGTGGTTTATCAATAGTAAACTATTGAATGACAAGAAAGGTAATTAAATCATTGGTTGTTTGGTTTCTGGACCGGAATTACAACCATTTGGCTCCTAATAAATGCCAATAGATGTCCGAAATATTGTTTACTGGGATGGAAATCATGATACTTATACTACTATATATATCATGATACTAAATTGAAACGGTGATTTGTTCTTTCTTAATCAAAATATCAAAGATTATTTTTTGGGTAAACTGTCCTCATCAAATATTTACAATTGGAACAATACCGCCTCAGAAATGCACGAGAAATTTGAATGGTTCGAGAGAAGCGGAAAACAAATTCCGTTCTTCCGGTATCTTACATCGAAGAATTGCAGAAGAAAACAGTTTTTTTTTTTAGATAAAGGAAGAATAATTTTCGAATCAAAAAAAGTAGAAAGAATTGCAAATAAATGAAAAGATTTTTACATAGTAAGAAATAAAATGCTGTGTTAATTGAATTGATTAGCGGTTTTGAATGAATAAAAAATAAAATTGCTTCCTTCCAGTCTTCTCTTCCTGTCCGTTCTTTTTACTTATTATCTAAATTTACATCTTTGAAAAGGAGAAAGTATGGGTTAAGTAAGCTTAACGAGATTGCCAAGAGCATAAGAGAAGTATGGTCGTAAATGTTATGCTTTACTTCTGGAAACATGACCTTAATTAGATTTTAGTAAATAATTTGTCAAATGCAATATAAGTTGCCATTTCGTAGTGTCTCTCACTTTTCCATTTTCCGCTTTAGAAAAAATTTGCATTTTAATATTGAAATAAATAATTTAAAAGAAGCATAGATCTTGACTCACTTTTAGTTGAATTACTTTAATTAATGTACTTTCCTCCAACAATATTGACAATTGCTTCCCACATCGCCGCTGCGCATATGACCGGGAAAGTTACTGCTACTGCTACTGCTGTTACGTTGCGCATGCGCACAAATAGAGATGTCCAGTCTGCTCCGCCTGTCCTAGTGGACACTTTGCGTTACGTCAACTGACGGAGTGGGAAATTTCCAATCTTTAAGTGAATTAAGAGTGTGCAATAGTTTAATGAAATCTACGAACTCTTCGAAAATATCATCAGCCAATGATTCCATTCCTTCTCATGGTAATATTGCAATGATTCGAATCGTCATTTGCCAAAAGTAATAATATCTTTCATAAGTTGAGGATTCCGGAAATTCGTGTCATTTTTGATAAAACCCTAAGAGTTGCTATTATTCCAACCTGATATGTCTTTGATCCCTCACGCATCTACGAAGAACGGAAAATTCACAAAATTATAGTTTGAGAAAAACAGGAAGCAGAATAAAGTCATTTCTGATCAGCTATTAAAACTTTAATTTTAACACTTTGTGATATGATTCGGAATATAAGAGAGAGGAGGGAAGAATGGGAAGGTATTCGTTGTGCTACTGAAGAATATATTTTATAAATTTTCCCATCCATAAAAAGATGGATAGCTTGGAATAAAAGCAAATTCTTGAGTGAGGAAGGAAGCTTGAGAAGAAGGCATGAATGGGTAATTTTATGAAAGTTCCTTAAAAGTAATGAGACTAAAAAAGAGTAAGACTAAACAACTTAATATGTGCATATAAGTATGAGACACAAAAGAAGTATATTTATGCAGCAGTAATATTCATTATATAATGAAATGCCTAGAACTAGAGGAATCAGGGCGGGCGGGCTGGCGGGCGGGCAGGCGGCATTTTACATAACGCTAAGCTATTTGGTCGTAGTTGAGAAGAGAAGCAATTTCTGCAATGGAATTGGATAGATGGATGGATAGATACTTGGGCAATTGAATAATAAAATCAAAAAGTGAAATAGACTGCTTTCCCATTGCCTCTCGGTGCCCAAAAACACGGGTGAAACAAAATGGGAATATTTATGCGTCGTTGGAAATGATCACTTAATGCAATCAAATGACGCTTGCACCATAATCATATCAAATAAAACATTAACATTGAGGAAAGCACTTTCGATGCGATGCGAACGTTACGAGCAGATCGGTGAAAGAGACGTGAAAGAGTAGACTTGGATTCAAGAAGGATCGAGATTTATTGACGAGAACGATTCAGAGTCGAGAGTTAGTGTGACTTAATGAAGAGAGGAGAGAGATTAAGTTGTTCGCTTCGCTCTTATAGCACTAATTAAAGAGATTCAAATTTCGATTAATTTATTTCATAATGATAGGAAATGAATTTCATATCATTATGGAAATTACTAAACAAAATGACTCTTTCAGAGGTAATATTAGTCACAAAGCAAACTCTTAAGTATAACTGCTCCAGCATCACTACAAACATACACATCATCTCATCTCATCTCACCGTCTCATTTAAATGCATTTTAAATAGTCCCATACATACATTTCTAACACTGTGAGACAGACAGACACACACACACATGCACATGCACATGCACACACACACACACACACTTATATATACACATACATCGACATGCATGCATACATTACGACATACTCATATGCATATTATGATGATATGATAGCATAGAGGTGTGGTACTAATAATGTGATAAAAGTGTGTGCACGCTTCTGCAGCATGCAAAAGTGAATGCTTAAGGATGCGACGGAGAACCTTCGTTCGCAACCTTTGATAAATTTAAAGGTAACATTGCAATGCGAGAGTGTGCGAGTCGCACGAGCAAGCGAATACAAAGTAACAAAAACAGAAAAGTGAAATTGATTTCAGAATATGCATGCTTCTCTCTTGCCAGCTATACTGTCCTGTCAAAGTAAGGAAAGCTTAGCATTGTATAAGTTAGCTTCGAATAGCAGCGCTGCTTACTGTGTAGCATTCTTACTACAACAGTTACTACTCATTCCTTCATAACATAATTAAATGGAATATTTGTTAAGGAATCAGAATGTCACATCAATATTTGAGTCTTTTCTGAAATATCGTCGTTTGGTAGTATTTCTGTACGGCAGACATAACTCTGTGCTATACGAATAGCATTTGAATTAAACAGTTCAAATGCTTTGTGCTTATCTGCAAGAACATTTGAAAAGGTCACGAACCGAAAACAAAAATGGTATGAAAAAGCAAAAGAGAAAGTTTAGTGAAAGTTGAGCTAATGACTCAGAATAGGAAGCCATAGAATCTTCTGAGGTAAATGGATTAAAATAATTTTGTTGCTGAAAGAACAAAAAGGAAGAGAAGTTGCATAGCATTTTTGACAAACTGAAACTTGCAGGTCTTTCAAATATTAAACAGCTCTCATACGGAAATAACAATTTTTTTTTTTTCTTTTCCAATTAAAATATGGCAGTACAAATGAGCTATAATAACACTATTGGATAATAAATGAAAGGAAAAAAAAAAAGTTGACATAGGTGGAGTCAACAGTGTCACCTGTGTCACTATCAACCTGTATTGCTTTCCCGAAAAAGATTATCTCCGCCTACCATCAAAACGTTATAATTAATTTGTCCATCTCAATGGGCAATGAAACTGCCCGAGTTATGATTGCAATGATGAAATTACATTATTTTCCCGAGCAGACGCTAAAATGAAATTATGAATAAGCAAGAAGTCGACGCAGAGGCCTAATCATACTTGTATTTGTGTAATATTTCTCGATCGTTTTCTGTCCCGTAGGAATTTTATGACTGATGATGATGATGATGATTAATTTTGCTTCGTTTCTTTCTTCCCTATTATTTGGTCTATGCTAGCACACCTTGTTGATGAGTGTGTCAGAAATAATATTCCAAGTGTGGAAAAATTTTAATGAAATCTGTTCATCACCGGCATTTTGTATTCCTGTAGGATGACCTGAATGATCAACGTGCTAGCACTCATAACTGATGGACCGGATCGAACAGTCGTCATCAGTAACGGATGATGCAAAACGGTTAGCCGTCTTTTTTCATTCCTCCTCAGTGAACACCGCCTTTGTTAGCAGCGGAATTTCTACATTTCTGTTGCTTGAAATTCCAAAATTTATTGCTGATGCTGAGTCATCCTATAAGGCGAACTTATTTTGCACCCAAATGTTTATATAGTTTAATTGTTCTAGAAAATAATGCAAATATATGATCAGTCGAATAGATAGTTGAAAATGTGAAATTTTCGTTCGATAATTTAGGGACAGTACAGCAGGAAAGGAAAGGAAGAATGTTCAAAAGAAAAATAAACTGTCACCGGATAGACCTCCTTTTTGTTGTTTCCGGTCTTACCGAATTGAGCAGCTATTACTCATCCAAATGGGATCCATGTTCTGAGGTGTTAGCAATGCAACACGCAATAGCGTGCAGATGCGAGGCCAACTTTACCTCTCACTTGCAGTGGAAGTGGTGCATGCATGCTGCAGAAACTCGATCACTCATTAACTCAAATTATCGGATTAACTGCTCCGGCAAATTGCTCTTCATTGACGAGTGTCATGCTCGACCGAACGGATGGCTTGGATTGGCGAGGAGTGATGACGAGATTCGTAAGAGATATTCGGGAAATAATGGAGAAGTGGGAGGTAGAGAGAGTCACAGCGATGGAAGATCTACCTGCTGCTGCTAATAGCAGGTAGTAGTGATAGTAGTAGGAAGTGACGACAGTAACAACTTCCCACTGTCTATATTCCATGGTTCATTTACCGTAATCCGTGTCCGTCGCGATTTGTCTCTGCTGAGCAGCAAAACAATTTAATTAACGTATTACTTACTTGCTGATGTGATGGATGGACAGCTCGGAGTACTTCAGATCGCATCTGCTGTGGTAAAGGCATTAATTACAGCTATTTGATGTATAGCACACGTGCGTGATTTGACGTGACAGACATTGTTAACTGATTAAAGTGACGTAACGAGTTGAAATTGATAGTATCAGTGACATCGGGTGGACACGACTAACTATTACTTGAACAGCATCAGCCGAAAGGCTTTCTCCTTTCTCTTTTAAATGCCCAATTTTGAGGTGCAATTTGTACGAAATGGAAAGGAAAGCAAATCAGTCCAATGTTCCCTTTCTCAATCCCAAATTAAGCCTATAATTTGTAACAGAAAATACCTCAATTATACCTATAATATACATCCATCCATTCTATAGTAACCAAAAATTGAGCTCATTTAACAAACAAACAATTTCTTCCCACTATGCTTCATTTCACGAATATTCTCCCCAACAAATACATATATTTTGCTTATTTGCTTAGCAAATGAGTTTGCATAGGAACAAGTTCAAAAAACAGAATTTCAAAGTGGAATTTAGACAAGTGCACACACCCCGGTATATCCCAATAACTTCCATTGACAGAATGGAGACTTAATTTTTTGAAAAATTTTTTCAAAAATTGAAATTACGTTTGAAATTTAAAAAATGTGTATTGACGCAAAATTTACTACAAAATACTACCAAAATCTTTCCTTTTTTTTTAAAAACTAATCCAAATTTAGAGTGAATGATAAGAAATTGAAAGTAGCTGAAAAACGCTAACGAAACGAAGTATTTCGACAGGACATTTGCAAAGGTAGCAGATTCAATAAAGAAAGAAGGACAGAGTATCTGCGCACTAGGTGTAACATTAGCGCATTCAGTCATCCACACAGTTCCTAAATTTCTGCATTATACAATATACTTATGATGAATAGCTCTGAATGTAGATGCACTCAGTCTAATTTAATTCGGAAGACTTTAGGAAGAATCCTGTAATCCGATCCGTTCCTTCCTTCAGTCATTGTACAGCCGTAAAAGAAACATATCAGTTGTTGGCTAATGAACGTATCAGTTGTGAACAGGTAAGTCACATATTATTGTTATTATTCCTACTGTTTTATTATTACTATTACTGCTACTAATAATTATTATTATTGTTAATATTGTTTTCTGTTATTGTTACTATCATTTCGTTACTTTGACGGAATGTAACTTTCCGCATTTCTTCTTTCTGATTGCGCTCCAAATGGAACTCAAATAAATGACTTTAGTTTAGTTTGCTAAGAATTTCAAAAATTCACTTTAAAGCAAGAAAAAAGTGTTACTTCAGGTAGTAACAATTATCACTGTTAAATCTTGAATCCAATCATCACAATGAGTAATGTTTTGAAATTCAAAAAGTTCATAAAATTCTTTAAATTTTGTAGGCTGAATTTTTAATTTAAATTTAAAAAATTTAAACATATCAAAGAAGTAAACATAAGAATGAAAGCAATAGGCTTTGGCAAATTGAGCGAGATTTGACCTTCTTTGATTTTACTCTAAAACTGACGACAGGTACTGACGATGAGATGGCAATTGTTTTTTCCGAGAGGTGCAAAATCATTTTTGTCAAAATTTGCAACTGTTGCTATTTTCATTTCATTAAACTTTAATTCACGTATGATAATGCTGGAAAGATGGGGGAATTACCTTGAATTTTAGACTGTCAAATTATTGTACTTTCTCAAAAAATTGAAAATTGAAAAATGAAGAGGACAGCAGGTTGGACAACAAGGAGAAATATAGCTGACCTAAGATTTGGATTAAAATTTGGTTCGATGATAACTATTAAAATGTCATAGCAACCTGTGTCTCATTCTCACTCATTAAGCAAAACACAATTCTCGTCCCATCCATCCCTCTCCTCTCCTCTCTGCTAAAGTTCCAGGTGTATGCGACTAATTAAACATTCACTACAATTTAGCTCATTAATCAGACTAATGATGTTATTGCTCACTGATAGACATTATTAATGAATTCAAAACTATTCACTCAGTACTACTACACAACCATCTTTGCTTCTCTCATTAGCAACAGAATTGACTGATAATAATCAAATTAAATATCATTATTGCCTGTTGCTTGGCTAATATTATGCAACAACACACACACATACACACACACACACATACACATACACACATACACATACACACATACATGGCCATATTTTCATTGGCCAATAAATCCTCGTGAAGTTACTACCATCATCGCCTCTACAAATCTACAGTCTTGAAGAACGAGCATTTGTTGATTGAAATATTGATGAGAAGAGGATGTCAAAGTGTTGTGACGAATAACACTGCTAATCTTTCCATTTATTTATCAGTTCAAATCTCCTTGATCTTATCAGGATCAGATCAAAACACAACCATACTGTATTTTTCGCTTTTGGATTATTTGAACTTCTCACTTATCTTAACAGTTACCTTATCATCTTATTGTAGAAGCTAGCACTTTCGACACATTATTGATGATACTTTCTAACATTGAAAGTAATCGTTGCAATTGAGAACAAAAATGTTTTGAAAATGTTGGCACTTAGATATTTTTCTTTTCCTTTTCTCTCTCTATTATTTGATGTATTTGAGTAAAAAGGATGAATTGATTATGTCTGATCTAAAGACTATATCAGTGCTAATGAGAAAATGTAAGGTACATTCAGGTAACGGAAAAGAAGAAACAAAAAGAGAAGCTAAAAAGATAAATTGAACACGTATTTAGACGTAAAAATTGACACTGAATTATGACATTTTTTATTTTTCTACAGTCTTTGAAAAAAGAACCAAAAGCTTTGAAAATCTCAACTTAGTCCCATCAATAAGATTTAATTCTTCCCTTAAAAAAAAATAATAATAATAATTGCAAACCGGATAGGACCAGTACCATGAATTGGCCTGAATTTGTTCAGTCCATGATGCAATGAACAGGAAGTACCATAAAAATATTCGAACTGGCCAAGTTAGCATTTTTTGCATTTTGTAGGAATGCTTTGTAGGAATATAAACTAAGCATTTGGCATACTCTCAGTTGAAGTCTTTTAAAGAGAGAAAGAAAAGTGATTGCATTTGGGCATTGGCCCATTAACGATAACAGCAAAAAGTAAATGGTTTGAATTATGATAGATTGTCCTAAGGTAAAATGCAAAACAAAGTTATTGTTTGCCATTAATCTTTGTAAAATGTCCAAAAGCATTCAGTGACAAAGCGTTCACTTTACTGTCATCTCCTGTTCTAAATTGCTTCTAAATATCGGTTAGTTGATTCTGCTAATGTGCCTTAATTCTCTGGCAAAGCCTTCGGGCCAAGGAATGCAAACGAGAAGCAAAATCTTCTATTAAAGACCAATCTAGGGAACTGAGGAAAATTTTAAGATGCAGTTTACTGCTAAGCAATGATTACTACTGAGAGCACTGATAGGATATAAGAGTCTTAAGCATATTCCTGTTGAAATAATATTACTTATTGACTTGCCGTTATTAATTGTCCGAGTATTCGAATAAAGACACTTATGGCTTAAACAAATTTCCTCGTAAACGACGCAAATTTGGCTCTAAATTATTTGTCAAACATTTGCTGTTCTCAAGATGTATTGGTGACAACGGTAATGAGAGCAGGACGAAAAGTACAGGTGAGAAAAGGAGAAACCGAACACAGGTGAGGGAAAAGAGGAAAGAGTGAATATCGAGCTTAAGGTGAATAAAAGCACAATAAAACTTTCATAAAATGATTGATGTAAGTAATAGAAGTCCTTTAAAGTAAACTATTGTTTTGGCCTGAGCTATATGTGAATTCAAATAAGCCTAGCAAAAAGTGGACATTTTTCTTTGTAAAGGTCAGAATAACTCTTGAGACTCAGCAAAAATATCAGCCTTAACTGAGAGAAGGAAGGTAAGCCATTTACTTTAAATCCAACTTTGTAAGCCAAGAAAGTAGTGCAACATGTCTGGTAGATTTTGCTAGAAATGATGAAAATTTCACTTTAGAAACAAATTTTGGCGGTTAGAAATTGAATGAAAGAATGTCTATTAAGTTACACTGCCAGTCTACAATTAAACAATGTTAAGAAATAATATAATATATACATAATGGATGGAAACTTTGATATTTCGTTTATTAGCCTGCGTCAATGCCGCTTGGTGCGCTTACATCAAGGATTTTCGGGTAACTTCAGGTAAAGAGTAATTGATGTGAAGTGGCCTCGAAAAAACGAAATTATTACCAATGTTAATTACTTTTTGCCCATGAACAAGTCATTATCACCTGCCTTTCCCTCCTTTTCAAGAGGCCACATCAAGTGGACACACCGCTAATAACTTTAACGACAATTTCACTTCTAACGACAACCACTTAATGGCCATCATTGTTTCTTTTCTTTTCGACAGCCATAAAATAGTTGGATGGAATTCTTTTCAAGTTTTCATATACGTTTCGAGCTAAAATTTAAGCTTAGGTTTGCACTTTAACTTGCAAGATGTAAGAGGTCTCCACTAATCCTTGTCACCATTGCTTTCAAAATTTAAAGACATTTGAAGTACTCAAATTTATTTGCATAGAACAGTTAGACTTCTTGATATCTTTGAATTCTAAAAGTCACATAATATAAATAACCGAGTAGAGCATTCTGAGAAATATTAAAAGTAAGCGTATTGGAAGGAATGTAGAAGGCTTCCAGCAACGTATTTTAAAGTTTCAAAATTCTAAAACTGTTCAAAAGACAGAGGAAAATTATTACTGATCCATCTGATATGGACACAGACCGAATTTTGAGTGCGCTTTTTTTCATTTCTAACAATAGTAATAAACACTGAAAAAAAAGTGCTCGGATTGGAGC